AATATATATATATATATATATATATATATATAATTAAAATGAACACATTAAAATGTAACAATTCTAAAAAAAAAAAAAAAAGGTTATGTAACTTAAAATGTAACTAAATATATATATTTGATTTTTTTTTCATAAACTCCCTGCAGTTTCCTCATGAAGCTCAGTTTTGAATAATTGTCCTGAATTACTTTTTTACAATTGACATTTTGAACAGAAATGTATGCAAGCATGAATGTGATTGTCTGCACTGACCATGTCTCTGCGGAGCGTCATGCGCCGGTGGAACAGACTGGTGCCGCTCTCACCGTCTCCTGCTTTACTGGAGCTCTGCGTGTCTCTCTCCATGCTGCTCTTCCGTCTGTCTGCTGTAACTAACCCTCCCTCACTGTTTACCTGCTCCATGTTCATCTCCAGGAGACCAGAGCTCCTGCCCCGGGCCAATTAAAGGCACAACATGTACGATTTTTTTATTAAAATATCCAAAAACCATTAGAACAGTGTTATATATTTTGCTGACTTGTGTACTTACACTATCCCAAATGTTTCGAAGAATGTTTAAATCCAGAGAACCTGAATAGTGCACTAACTGGCATTCACTATCTAGGGAAGCATGAATGATTTCAGACAGCTTTATTAGCAGTGCAGCAGAGAATCATGGGTAATCAGTGTTGTTCTCACCTGTTCTCCTCCATGTGTCGCAGGTCTTGCAGGACAGACAGCAGAGCTTCAGTCGAACACTAGTGCATGAAGGATATTTATGGATTTACATTTTACAATCACTGCATCTGTTTATTATATGAGGAGACGTGAGGCGTTCCTGGCCTACAGTATTCCAGATTTAGGAATATGATGCATCATTTACTCACTCTCATGTCACTGAAGACCTGTAAGACTTAAGTTTAGATGTTTATCAAGCGGAAAACATGAAGCTCGCCAAACTAAGTTTCAGATCTGGACTGTGTTTGTTTATAGAACTAGCATTTATGTAATGCAAGTAATATTTTCATACTTTTTTTTTGCATGATTTGGCAAAATTACAGCTTGATTGGAAATGGTGCACAATGAAAATTTTTTGTTTGGGTAATTGTAAGTGTAGTAATATTTTTTTAAGATGAATTTTCATATTTTAGTTTGGAACAGTGTTATTTTAGTATTATTGATATACTATGGTATATCAATAAGCTTTTATTTTTTATATATTTTCCATTTCAATTTAAGTTTTAGTAATTTTTCTTAAATGCTTTTGTCATTTTTATACCAATTTAAAAAATAAAAAAATTATTTTAATAAGAAATCATTTTAAAAAATGAATTGTTACATGTTCCCTCTAATATTTCTATATAGCTTTAATGTATTTTTATCTCAGTTTTAGAAATGATGGAAGTTTGTTTCCCCAACAGAAAAATCAATAAAAAAAACTGATTTTATCTCAGTTAAACTTTTTATCTCAGAATTCTGCATTTATGTCTTTTAATTGTTTTTTTTTTCACCAGGAAAAAAAAATAAAATTGCAATGTTTTTTTTTTAATTGCAATTAGTTTTTAGCTCACAATTCTGACTTTGCTTCACAGAACTGCGATTTTATATCATGCAATTCTGAGAAAAAGTCTGAATTGTAAGATAAAAAGTTGCAATTACCTTTTTCTTTTTTATCCCGTGGCAGAAACAAGCTTCCATGCCTTATTTTTATTTCAGTTTTAGTTGCATGAACTTGCATGAATGTTCTCCGTTTCTGTTCCACTGGCAGAAAGTCATGAAGCAGCATGAGGCTGAGTAATTGATGAACACACTGTGGACTGTGCAGATGAAGCAGATGAAGCACCTCGATGACGTGTAGCGTGTGCTGAGGGTAGAGCAGCAGGAGACCGGTGACGTCTTCACCCACAAGGCTCCTCTGCAGACTGAGAATCAGCCTCTCGTAGTGATCTGACACACAACACACACCAGAGAAACGTCTCAGAGAGTTTATTTTAAAACTGAACCATCTGGGTTTGGATTGTAATGACACTCTAAACCCTTTAATCAGAAATCTGAGACGCTCAGACGGACCTCCCACAGTCCTCCTGTCAGCCGCTCCGCAGGACAGACGGCCAATCACAGTCAGCCTGTGTAACAGGAACTTCTGCAGGAGAGACAGGAAGTGATAAAAGACAAACCTGCTGAGTGACTGAAGAATATGAGAAACACTCAGCATTTGTTTGTATTGTTGACTGGATACAGAGAGCGTCTGTGCATTTGAGTTTATGAATCTACAGCAACAGCTCATTGAAATAAACAACACAAGTTGTACATTTACTTTATTTTTTTAGCTCTTATGAAAAAAATTCCCAATATTTTATTAACACTTAGAAAAAACTAGAAAAAAGCTTAAAAGAGTTATAATATATCTTTTACAACTAGAATACTTTTTTTAATCATATTATGGATTTTGAGCTACAATTTCAGTTCACCTGAGATTTTAAGTTAATATTTCAGTAATTTATCAATTTATCAACACATTCAAACGTTCGCGGTTCAGGTAAACAAATAAAATTAAAAATGACAAAAATTAAATTAAAAATAAAAAATGTTTTTTTTTAGTGAGTGTTCTATTTTTATTGCAATTACTAAAAAAACTTTTTTTATTTTTTATTTAATTACATTTTTTTTTATTTTTAATTTTATTTGTTTACCTGAACCGTGAACGTTTGAATGTGTTGATAAATTACTGAAATATTAATTGTTATTAATTGCTGTTATTTCTTTTTATTTCAGTTTTAGTACTTATTATGGAATTATTATTATTATTAGTTTTAGTAATTATTATGGAAGCTAAAAAAGGTAATTGTGACTTTTTTTCTTACAATTCTGAGTTGATATCTTGCAATTCTGAGAAAACATCAGAAGTGTTAGATAAAAAGTCACAATTACCTTTTTTCATTTTTTATGCAGAGGTGGAAACAAGTTTCCACACTTTAATTTATTTATATTTCAGCTTTAGTCATTTTATCTAACTTCAACTTGCATGACACTAAACATTATGTGAATGTAACAATATATATATATATATATATATATATATATATAATTAAAATGAACACATTAAAATGTAACAATTCTAAAAAAAAAAAAAAAAGGTTATAAAATTAAAA